GTTGTCTTCCAATGGGGCATTTCCTGAAGTGAACATGAATTGTTGGTTGGATTCATGAAGAGGGAACTGGAAGGGAGGGTGCATAGCAACACGGTTGTTGTCTTCTTGGGTTTGCTTTGGTTTTTGTTGTTTCTTCTTCCTCATCAAAATCAGATTCCTCCTCCTGGCGTTCTCCTCCTTCCTCCTCCTCTCCCGCCCCGCCCCTCATCTTCCTGCTGCTCCTTCTCCCCCTGCGGCGCATGGGAGAAAACACTCGCGCGGGGATGGGGGGAGAAGCAGGAGCAGGAGGAGGAAGAGCGAGAGGAGGAGAGATTGCCCTGCCACAGGGACAGCAGGAGGAGGGTTACTGAACCGCGGGGGGAGACGGAGAGCAGTTGGACGGTCAGGGTGAGGGCGAGTGGATTTCATGAATGATCACGCTCGCTTGGCCGGGGCACGCGCACGTTGTCTTTGACGGATGACGGGAGGCAGCAGGCAGGCATCAGCGTACCAGATGATCTGGAAAGCGACCGCACACCTCTTTGTCAGGCGTCCGGGGAAGAAGTTGGCACAAGAGCACGCTGCACGCTACTCGAACCCCGATTCGGGTGGTCACCCCACTGCCTGCAGCAGATGTCCCCGCACACACAACGGTTGCACCGAGGGATTCTTGCGCATCTCTCGGAGAGTAGTTGGCTGGGTCTGCCGCGGTTTCGCCAGGTGGGCGCCCGCGGGAGCCTTCGTGCGGGCGGGTCTGCCGGGGCTGCGCCCGGCAGGCGCCCGTGGGGTTTTTCGCGGGTGCTGGGAGTTGGCGGGTCTTTCCGTGTGTGGGGGTGCGCCCAGTGGGCAGGTTGTGGGTGCCTCATGCTTTGGCAGGCGTCTCCATTGCTACCGCAGAACCGACACCGTATTCGTACATCTCAGAAAATCGGCTGCACCACCGAGTTTGCACCCAACAGCTTGGACCACTGATATTTCACGGTCCCAACAGCTTACACCACGTAGAGTGCACCCAACAGCTAGCACCACACATAGAGCACCATATCGATTCCTCCACACCACCACCTGTATGAAAACACATAGACGGCATAGATTGCACCACATGTATTGTACCACATGTCTTACACATTCAGAGTGAAACAAACAACTCATTGTCTCGAGCTCACGCTGGCAATCATGTGATGAGCATGGTTATAACAAGATTTCCCAGCACTTGCTGCTTATCTGTTCTGGTCCCTGCTGCATCATAGCAAGTGTCGTTGTCATGGTCATCAGGATGCCTTTCCAAAAATTGCGAGTGATCCTTATCAGCGCCCTCCTTCTCCTCGCACGTCTCATCCGCTGTTAAACTGAGATCATGTGTTTCCTGCCACCGTCTCCCGGTCATGATATGATGGATTGATGTACCCCCAGTGTGAGAGCGAGCAGCGAACGGAGGTCCCAACAAGCGGATCGACTGGGCGCATCCACAAACAGCCTTGGACGAGGACTGTCATTCCCACTGCCATTACTTGGTGGCGAGCCCAGGGGGAAACGAGAAGGAGAAGGCATTCTCAGAAGGCTCGGAGGTCTCCTGGCCTTTTGAGAAGTTGTCTAAGCCTTTCCCCGAAGACACAGAAAATCTTTCAGAAGGCCCGAGGTCTTCTGAGAAGTCCCGCCGCCTTCTGAGAAGGCCTTCTCCTTCACATCTCCCCCCCTCGCTCGCCGCCAAATTGCTCCTCTCGAGATTCTAGGTTCAAGGACCGAGTTCGATGGGATGTTTTTTGTTCCATCTCTGAGCCTGGGAAGGCCTCTGGCGAACTTCGCGGACCTCTGGAGAGTTCTGAGAGTTAATTATCCATGTCTTATTCCCCCCTGACACTGAAGACGAAGGCTATCCCACATGTGCGCGAGGAATCGCCGACACGGGATGAGGAGCAGGGCGTCGCGGTGGACCGGGATGATGGAGGGAAGGGACGAGGAGAAGGAAAAAGTACAAGAAGGAGAAGAAGAACAGGAGGATCGAGGAGGAGGAGGAGGAGGAGGAGGAGAGGCATGAAGAAGGATAATAATAAAGGCAAGTCCGAGAATTGACGGAAGGGAACTGGTTTACCATCGTATATCTGATTAGTGTGAGATGTGATGATGCGGAGCACGAACAGTCTCAGCTGTAGTAGGCCATGACAAAAGCTTGCGACATCGCGCCTTGCGAATGCAGTTCCTTATCTTCATCCCGTTATCAGCATCCCACCCCGCGTCCTCCCCCTGAATTGCCGCCCTCCCTCTTTGCCTTCCACGCCCAGACTGGAGGGCAAGGACGGGGATCACGGGATGGGATCGAGAGGGTGATCAGAGAGGAAGAGGCACTGGCGCTCGAGTTTCCCTCTGAGTTATTCTGCGCTAGTGGCGCTGGGGGTGTTCAAGGAGCCGATGGATCCCGCCCCCGTGAAGGTGCTTGAGCCACCTGCGGGCGGAGGTCGAGAACGGGGAAAGGCAGAAGGGCCTGGAGGTCCCAGGAAGCCTCAGGAAGTCCACGGAAGCCAGAACGTACAGCAAGAAAAACACAGCTGTTAAAATCAGCGTGGTCCTCGAGAAGGAAGGGGAGGAGGAGAGAGAAGGGGGGCGGGCCCGCGGCGGGACAAGGGGAGGGACTCGCGGCGTCTTGCCGAATGGGAGAGAGACGCGACGACCAGTCTGCATTGTCATTGACAAGGGGGATGGGCGGGGGCACACAGCGCGGTGCGCGTGCTTCAGAGTCGCGCTCGAGCTTGTGCCTTGGCACGTTGTCTTCATGAGCCGGGGAGGCGCAGCGCGCCTCGTGCCTGCTGCTTCCCCGGGGATGGCGGAAGCGCCCACGCATTGCCCGGCGTGGGCAAGTCACGGTCGTGCTCACGCACTT